ACCTCAATTCGCCTTGGCTACTAATTCGACTTTACCACATGGCTATATTGTCTTCGGTTCAAGGCTTCAGCGAAAGTTCACAGGCTTATATAACTAACCCTGAGATAAGAGGTTAGTTTATAGCTCTTTATTGATGTTTTCAAGCAATATTCAGAGTTAATTGCCGGCAATGTCGATAAGTGAGCCATAACTGTATAACTGTGATTTCAGTATATGTATACAGATGTATAAGAAATCGTTATAGCTTTGCCCCAATTGCGGAGTCGCTTCATCATCTTCCCTTTGCATATATGACATTTATATATACCATAATTTAGCCAGAAAGAAAATTCTAGTCGGGGTGCCTGAGAAGGAAGCAGGTAACTAATGCAGTGGCATATACAATTACAAAGGCAACATAAATAATATTTAATGCTAATTAAGATTCGTAGAATATGGTAGAATGCTCGCATAGCAACATAGAAAACGGTCCATGCTTGTTTGAGTGTATGTGTGCACATGCACAAGGGAAACACTGCGTTTCTTTGCTTGTCGCCCTGATCAAGAATTTACATAAATATATCCTCTATGGGTCTGCCACGCCTCCTTCTATTAGTTCCATTACGTATAATAAGTATGTGATGAAAGAAACACATTCAAGATGCTCCCAGCAGCAGAGACTGTTCTGATTGGTCAATTAAAGCTCAACTGCTTGCAGCCGAGGTCTGCCTGTCTGATTATATGACTCTCTGTTTCTCTCTCTCTCTCTCTCTCTGCCTAACAACAGAAAGAGCTACAGAAGTATGCAGCAGTATTCATTTCGTATTTATATTCAAGTAAAACGAACGGCTTGTAGCCGCAGAGTGTTCCCATTGGTCACTTGTGGCTCGGCTGCAACGAGCCCTACCTGGGGTCGGGCTCAGCATTTGAACGCACCTCACTGTGTAAATGAGAGTAGCCCTATTTAAAGGGCAGCAGCTGCAGCATTTCTTCAGTCGCCCAGGCGCAGTGGTGGTCAGTTGTACAGTGCAGTAATGTGAGGTGCAGTAGTGTGTGTATATATTCAATGTCCATTCAGCTAAGCATTAAAGGAAATTTTCAGAGGAAACATTTAAGAAATACTTAATGGAAATACATTGAGGAAATATTTAGCAGAAATACTTGGAGAAAATAGAAGCAATAAATTCGTTTATACCATTTCCAATTTATATTCTGGTGTATGTCTTGGGTACCTGAAGAAACCAGCACATTTTGGTATAAATAAATAGTCAGGATATTCTATTCTGCTATTGCCTGAATTCATGATTGGTTTATGTCTTGGATAAGCCAAG